ACATGGGTAAAGTGTTTAGTGACGCTTGAAAAAAAATCTTTATTTGTATTCAGAAACTATGTCCGAAATTTGAATACTAATCTTGCTGAAATCATGTACATGAAAACATTCTAATGCTGCTGTATTATGTGTGACAAAACTAGCGGTAGCGAAATTTTTAATATGTGCTCTCTGCTTGTTAATTCTAATATTAAGGCTATTTTGGGTTGTAGAGTTGCGCGCCTCCAACCTGCACGCAACCAAGAGGTGACTGTTGAAACTGGAAAATAAACAGTCTTGCTAAAGGTTTAAGTCCCTTTTTATTCAACTGAAGAAATTACAATTGCGTGCTCTTGACGCTCACAAACTACGCCGACCCGGCGGTAAAATAAAAATAAGAACCTGAAAAGAAATAATAACAAGACTCTAACTACGAGGCTCTCTAAACGTAACTAACCTCACCGCGTTTTACAATACCGCTGCTAATTCAGCAAACTTTGAATATCACGTTGAACGATTAACAATTCTCCGAGGCAAGCACACAGGCCGAAACGCGGGGTTCTTCAATTTCTGGCTAACTACCTCCGCGCTCGTGAAGTAAGAACAGCACATCTCGAACTCGTTGCCATTCTATTTAACTCAGAATACTTCCGCTGATAATTTGAATCCTTGCGCGTTCTACTAAAATTTACATACTCTAGCATTGGCAGTTCCAGGGGAAAGTAAGGCTTCACAGGAAAGATAGTTTAAACTTAAAATAAATGTTAGTTAAAATAAATATAAACCCTACAGGGTTTGTCCTAAATATTTAAGGTTGCCAGTGCTACATGGTATAAGACATATGCAATTATATGTTTTTCAAAAGGGTAGTTATTCTGTGGCTGTGTTAACTTTACAAGAAAGTCATCTGCTAGAATGACATGAAATTTTACGAGATGTAAAATTTCATGAATTACATTCATGAAATTTTAATTTCTCGTATGTGATTGAAACGAGCCATTGTAAAAGTAAAGAGGAAGCTAACCTACAATACAGTGAATTTTTAAAGTAAAAATTCTTAACTCAATTTTTGGACAGGAAACTTTAAAAAACTGAGAATCTAAATGGTATTGCTAATTTAACATTCATGAAATTTTAATTCATGAATTCATTTTACATTCATGAAATTTTAATATTCTCGTATGTGAGTGAAACGAGCCATTGTAAAAGTAAAGAGGAAGCTAACCTACAATACAGTGAATTTTTAAAGTAAAAATTCTTAACTCAATTTTTGGACAGGAAACTTTAAAAAACTGAGAATCTAAATGGTATTGCTAATTTAACATTCATGAAATTTTAATTCATGAATTCATTTTACATTCATGAAATTTTAATATTCTCGTATGTGAGTGAAACGAGTTGTAAAAGCCATGTAAAGTAAAGAGGAAGCTAAGCTACAATACAGTGAATTTTTAAAGTAAAAATTCTTAACTCAATTTTTGGACAGGAAACTTTAAAAAACTGAGAATCTAAATGGTATTGCTAGTTTAATTCACTAAAATCTATTTAGATTTCTTAAAAGAAACTTTTTAAGAGAAGTTTTGTATTAAAAACAGATGTTGTAAGCTAAAATTTAGAATAAAGCGCAAGAATTTTAAAAAATGCAAAAATTTTAAAACATTATCAGGAAACTAAGACAGAAATAAATAAGAAATAATTACCAAATTATTATAACATGAAAAATATAGTTACTTATATATATATATATATAAAGTTGTTCTGTAGAGAAAATTTCTGTGCAGTTTTTAAATTTAATGTTTGGTGTCCTATTTAGGCATTTTTCCGGTACATTTAAAAGCCAGACGAAGGCTGGTCGCGTAGCAGCTAGTATTTACATAACAAAAAAAAGGTCTTTAAACCAATAACAACATTAATATTTACGAGCTAAAACTTTAATTGGCCAATAGTAATAAAGTAAAACTGTAATCGCCTTACTCTTAACCTAAATTTCATATTACAATTTAAGTATTACTTCTCAGCATCTCACCCCTGCTGGCATGCTTTCTCACAGCTCCCCTTTTTTACTTCAAATATATTTTAAATATGAAAAATGCAAATTGATTGCTGAAGATCCAGCATATGTCTTGTGCCAGGTTATCTGCATCTATAAGATTCAAGAATAAAAGAAGTATTAAATTGGTTATGACGTTATCAGGTCTTACTTGATCAGGAAATGGTAATTAGTCCAATAACCCTAACAGACGTAAAGCGGATTATCGCTGCGTCTGGATGAACTACACCGTCATGCAAAGGTTTAATTACCTTTTTTACTTCCTTGTACGAAGTAAAAAGGAAGTATTGTAATCGCGAAAAGTTTCAGGGAACATATTTCAAAGAAAATATCCATTTTGACCGCTATCGAATGCAATTTAACGATGTTTTTGCTTGATATCTGTACGTAAATACAAAATAAAAGACTCTTTTCCTCAAAAAAAAAAAAAAAAAAAAAAAAATTATAAAACTTCTTTAAAATGAATTCTGAAGAGAATTTTTCGTGGCGTCTGAACGAACTTATGTACGTACGTATCTCGCATAACTCAAAAACGAGTAGTCTCAGAACGTTGAAATTTTATATATCAGACTGCTATAACATGTAGATGTGCACCTTGTATTTTGATTGCAATCGGCCGCAACAAACGTATATAAATATATTTATTATATAATCCAGTCTGTTACCCGGCTCAGTGATCTCAGTTTCTTTACTCTCATATGTTTGTAAATTGTGTATTTTTTGCTTTAAAAATGATTGAATTATGTTGTTCTTATCTTCCGGTTAAGGTTTTTATGCCTTTAGTAAATCTGTATGCAATATTTTTAGAATTATCAACAATTTTAAAGCTGTTTAAGTGCCGGTATGCCTAATAATTTTTTTGATGGCGGCCATTGCTTGTTTGCACTTGAACAGCAGACTAGTGGATTTGTTGGACAGAATAAAAGACTATTTTCCTCCAAAAAAATTATAAAACTGCTTTAAAATGAATTCTGAAGAGAATTTTTCGTGGTGTACGATGTACGTATGTATCTCGCATAACTCAAAAAGCAGCCTGGGAACGTTGAAATTGTGTATATGGGCCTGCTATAACATGTAGATGTGCACCTCGTATTTTGGTTGCAATCGGCCGCATCAAACGTATATATAAATATATTTCCACTATGCTTGTAAATTGTGCATTTTTTACTTTAGAAATGATTGAATTATGTTGTTCTTATCTTCCGGTTAACGTTTTTATGTCTTTAGTAAATTTGCAAGCAATATTTTTAGAATTATCAACAATTTAAAAGCTGTTTAAGTGCGGTTAAGCGTAATTTTTAAATAACATGACGGATATGCTTTGTTTACATTTTAAACAGCAGAATAGTAGATTTGTTGGCAATATAGAGAGAAGACTAAGCTTCGCAACAACAAAGATAGCGCCTACATTTATTATTGCGAATTAAATCATGCTTAATCCTTTTTAGAATTTTTTCGAGGAAATAAGAGTTTAAGATTTACTTCGTAATTTTTAATACAGATATTTTGAGTTTTTATATATTTTTGCCTTTTTGCGAAGTGAGATCTAAATTCATTGAGTAAGAAATACTAAATCGTCGGTGAAAAACTGTTTCTTTTTTGTTCTGTTTGCTTAATTTCTTTAATACATCGTTCTAGATTTATTATAGTATTTGAATAAAGCATGTGGCAACGATTAGATAAGTCTTCAAATGCTATAAATTTTTTGCATTCTGAGTTACAATATGAACGAAATATAACGCTATTAAGTGAAACTAGCGCCAAAGTGTCGCTATGGTAAACAAATATAGTGAATTTTAAAGAGTGCATTTATTCTGTTGTGGTTAATGCGCTATCTACAAAGTAGATTTAATTCAATCCAATAAGTTTAAATGAAATGTAAGAAAAAATGCGTACAATTTAATATTCCGTACAAGGAAGTCATGTGGTGTACACATCAGAAATTACAACGTAGTTCCACTTTCTTCCTCTCAATACCAGCCTCAACGCGTGGTGAGGCAAAAAGACAAAAACCTTCAAATTTAAGTTAAACCTGGAACAGTAGTCACAGACTATACGATTCAGTTTTACTCTAAGCTGGCTCAATAATGTTAACCACAGCGCCAAAATCAATTTTTCGACAGCAACTAATGCAGAACTGAAAATTTAAAAATATCAAAGCTAGTAAGAACTAAACGTAGAGTGGGCGCGCAGCCAGAAAACATACTCTGGCGTAAAATTCATAAACCTCGGGTTAATACTACCTAACTCCTTTACATTCTGTTGAGAAAAATAAGAAATCAGAAGCTATAGTGAAGATCTAAATAATAAACACCCACCTAAATTAAATAATAATTACTTTAAGTATGTCTTTCATGCGAAATTTCTACATCATTCCTGTCAAAGGTTTTCTTACATGTATGTACTGATGCATGTATCTACATGTTATGCATTACAGTAAAATTCCTACTATACAGACTGCTTAATCTTCTTTCAGAAAAATTAAACAAAACTTTGTTCTTATAATACCTGCTTTAATATTTCCATTGCTTCAAATAATGTTTCATTCGTTCAAATGGTAAAAGACTATATATTTCAGAATTTTAAAAAATTCTATATTATATGTGTTTTTAAATTAAATTTATGTATAATAATAATGAAAAACAATAACGAAATACGTTGTTTATTAAAACAAAGCAATTCATTTTTTAAAGAAATCAAAATAACTGCTTTTCTTTGTCTCTTTTAAAAGTTATTAGTTCGATAAATTCTAACGAGAAAATAATTTATTTATAAGACCTATGTCAATTATTTGTACAAACCAAGCATTAAGAACTTCAGCTTTTCTAGTACCACTCAATGCGAAATAAAATCAAAGCTTACTAAAATTTCGTACACACGTTTACAAGAAAAGGGATTTAAAAAAGTCATAAAAATCACAAATGATATATCAGAAAGAGGCTCAAATATACTAGATAAAATTCAAAACAATAAAACTCATTTTAAATTTATTTATTTCTCAACGACTGCAATACTTAAGAAACAAGAAGAAAGCATTTAAAAAATATCAATTACTACACTAAAGCTTGCACTGACAGACCAACTAGATTAGCTGTGGATCCTAGAGAATTAAAGTCAATTTCTCCGATATTCGCATAGTTGAGAACATGTACAAGAGCGGATACAATTTCCAATAGAACTTGCACGAGAACTTCACAGCCAGATAAATCTGTTGAGGAAGCACGAACTTGAGAAGACAAATCAGAAATAATTGAAGGTAAAGCATATGTATTTACATATCCACCATCAGTTAAAGCAGATGCAGCAGAAGATATTCGTGAAGACGAAGAAGCAGATGACAAGCGTGACGTAGTGGAATATATTGTAGAAACATCGACACCACTGGCAGCACTAGAGCTAGCAAATGCACCACCTGCTACAGCACCTTGATCGTCGCCTCCAGATCTTCCAGCAACAGCTGCCCCAGCACCGGCTCCTTGACCATATCCTTGTTGGCCTTGTCCAAAACCTCCACGTCCTCCAGATCCAGCAGCAGCAGCTGCTCCAGCACCAGCTCCGACACCTTGACCGTATCCTCTCATGCCTTGATCATAGCCTCCAGCTCCTGCAGCACTGGCTGCTGCGGCTGCTCCTGCGCCTTGTCCGGCTCCGTAACCTGGTCCCCTAGCACCACCAGCTCCTGCTGCTGCAGCGGCTGCTGCTCCAGCTCCTGCACCTTGACCGTATCCTTGTTGGTCTCTTCCGCCAAGACCTGCAGCACTAGCTGCTGCGGCTGCTCCAGCACCTGCACCTTGATCGTAGCCTCGACCTCTTCCAGCACCAGCGGCACTAGCTGCCCCAGCACCGGCTCCTTGACCATATCCTTGTTGGCCTTCTCCAAAACCTCTACGTCCTCCAGCACCAGCTGCAGCAGCTGCTCCAGCAACTGCTCCAGCACCAGCTCCAGCACCTTGATCGTATCCTCTCAGGCCTTGATCATAACCTCCAGCTCCTGCAGCACTGGCTGCTGCGGCTGCTCCTGCGCCTTGCCCGGCTCCGTAACGTGGTCCCCCAGCACCACCAGCTCCTGCTGCTGCAGCGGCTGCTGCTCCAGCTCCTACACCTTGACCGTATCCTTGTTGGTCTCTGCCGCCAAGACCTGCAGCACTAGCTGCTGCAGCTGCTCCAGCACCTGCACCTTGATCGTAGCCTCGACCTCTTCCAGCACCAGCAGCAGCAGCTGCCCCAGCACCGGCTCCTTCACCATATCCTTGTTGGCCCTGTCCAAAACCTCCACGTCCTCCAGATCCACCTGCAGCAGCTGCTCCAGCACCAGCTCCGGCACCTTGAGCGTAACCTCTCACGCCTTGATCATAGCCTCCAGCTCCTGCAGCACTAGCTGCTGCGGCTGCTCCAGCACCTGCACCTTGATCGTAGTCTCGACCTCTTCCAGCACCAGCAGCAGCAGCTGCCCCAGCACCGGCTCCTTGACCATATCCTTGTTGGCCTTGTCCAAAACCTCCACGTCCTCCAGATCCAGCTGCAGCAGCTGCTCCAGCACCAGCTCCGGCACCTTGACCGTATCCTCTCATGCCTTGATCATAGCCTCCAGCTCCTACAGCACCGGCTGCTGCGGCTGCTCCTGCGCCTTGTCCGGCTCCGTAACCTGGTCCCCTAGCACCACCAGCTCCTGCTGCTGCAGCGGCTGCTGCTCCAGCTCCTGCACCTTGACCGTATCCTTGTTGGTCTCTTCCGCCAAGACCTGCAGCACTAGCTGCTGCGGCTGCTCCAGCACCTGCACCTTGATCGTAGCCTCGACCTCTTCCAGCACCAGCTGCAGCAGCTGCCCCAGCACCGGCTCCTTGATCATATCCTTGTTGGCCTTCTCCAAAACCTCCACGTCCTCCAGCACCAGCTGCAGCAGCTGCTCCAGCACCAGCTCCGGCACCTTGACCGTATCCTCTCATGCCTTGATCATACCCTCCAGCTCCTGCAGCACTGGCTGCTGCGGCTGCTCCTGCGCCTTGTCCGGCTCCGTAACCTGGTCCCCTAGCACCACCAGCTCCTGCTGCTGCAGCGGCTGCTGCTCCAGCTCCTGCACCTTGACCGTATCCTTGTTGGTCTCTTCCGCCAAGACCTGCAGCACTAGCTGCTGCGGCTGCTCCAGCACCTGCACCTTGATCGTAGCCTCGACCTCTTCCAGCACCAGCTGCAGCAGCTGCCCCAGCACCGGCTCCTTGACCATATCCTTGTTCGTCTTGTCCAAAACCTCCACGTCCTCCAGCACCAGCTGCAGCAGCTGCTCCAGCACCAGCTCCGGCACCTTGACCGTATCCTCTCATGCCTTGATCATACCCTCCAGCTCCTGCAGCACTGGCTGCTGCGGCTGCTCCTGCGCCTTGTCCGGCTCCGTAACCTGGTCCCCTAGCACCACCAGCTCCTGCTGCTGCAGCGGCTGCTGCTCCAGCTCCTGCACCTTGACCGTATCCTTGTTGGTCTCTTCCGCCAAGACCTGCAGCACTAGCTGCTGCGGCTGCTCCAGCACCTGCACCTTGATCGTAGTAGCTCGACCTCTTCCAGCACCAGCTGCAGCAGCTGCCCCAGCACCGGCTCCTTGACCATATCCTTGTTCGTCTTGTCCAAAACCTCCACGTCCTCTCAGCTCCAGCTGCAGCAGCTGCTCCCAGCACCAGCTCCGGCAACCTTGACCGTATCCTCTCATGCCTTGATCATAGCCTCCAGCTCCTGCAGCACTGGCTGCTGCGGCTGCTCCTGCACCTGCACCTTGATTGTAGCCTCGACCTCTTCCAGCACCAGCAGCAGCAGCTGCCCCAGCACCGGCTCCTTGACCATATCCTTGTTGACCTTCTCCAAAACCTCCACGTCCTCCAGCACCAGCTGCAGCAGCTGCTCCAGCACCAGCTCCGGCACCTTGACCGTATCCTCTCATGCCTTGATCATAGCCTCCAGCTCCTGCAGCACTGGCTGCTGCGGCTGCTCCAGCACCTGCACCTTGATCGTAGTCTCGACCTCTTCCAGCACCAGCAGCAGCAGCTGCCCCAGCACCGGCTCCTTGACCATATCCTTGTTGGCCTTGTCCAAAACCTCCACGTCGTCCAGATCCAGCTGCAGCAGCTGCTCCAGCACCAGCTCCGGCACCTTGACCGTATCCTGTCATGCCTTGATCATAGCCTCCAGCTCCTGCAGCACTGGCTGCTGCGGCTGCTCCTGCGCCTTGTCCGGCTCCGTAACCTGGTCCCCTAGCACCACCAGCTCCTGCTGCTGCAACGGCTGCTGCTCCAGCTCCTGCACCTTGACCGTATCCTTGTTGGTCTCTTCCGCCAAGACCTGCAGCACTAGCTGCTGCGGCTGCTCCAGCACCTGCACCTTGATCGTAGCCTCGACCTCTTCCAGCACCAGCTGCAGCAGCTGCCCCAGCACCGGCTCCTTGACCATATCCTTGTTCGCCTTGTCCAAAACCTCCACGTCCTCCAGCTCCAGCTGCAGCAGCTGCTCCAGCACCAGCTCCGGCACCTTGACCGTATCCTCTCATGCCTTGATCATAGCCTCCAGCTCCTGCAGCACTGGCTGCTGCGGCTGCTCCTGCACCTGCACCTTGATTGTAGCCTCGACCTCTTCCAGCAGCAGCAGCTGCCCCAGCACCGGCTCCTTGACCATAGCCTTGTTGGCCTTCTCCAAAACCTCCACGTCCTCCAGCACCAGCTGCTCCAGCACCAGCTCCGGCACCTTGACCGTATCCTCTCATGCCTTGATCATAGCCTCCAGCTCCTGCAGCACTGGCTGCTGCGGCTGCTCCAGCACCTGCACCTTGATCGTAGCCTCGACCTCTTCCAGCACCAGCAGCAGCAGCTGCCCCAGCACCGGCTCCTTGACCATATCCTTGTTGGCCTTCTCCAAAACCTCCACGTCCTCCAGATCCAGCTGCAGCAGCTGCTCCAGCACCAGCTCCGGCACCTTGACCGTATCCTATCATGCCTTGATCATAGCCTCCAGCTCCTGCAGCACTGGCTGCTGCGGCTGCTCCTGCGCCTTGTCCGGCTCCGTAACCTGGTCCCCTAACACCACCAGCTCCTGCTGCTGCAGCGGCTGTTGCTCCAGCTCCTGCACCTTGACCGTATCCTTGTTGGTCTCTTCCGCCAAGACTTTCAGCACTAGCTGCTGCGGCTGCTCCAGCACCTGCACCTTGATCGTAGCCTCGACCTCTTCCAGCACCAGCAGCAGCAGCTGCCCCAGCACCGGCTCCTTGATCATATCCTTGTTGGCCTTGTCCAAAACCTCCACGTCCTCCAGCTCCAGCTGCAGCAGCTGCTACAGCACCAGCTCCGGCAACTTGACCGTATCCTCTCATGCTTTGATCATAGCCACCAGCTCCTGCAGCACTGGCTGCTGCGGCTGCTCCTGCGCCTTGTCCGGCTCCGTAACCTGGTCCCCGAGCACCACCAGCTCCTGCTGCTGAAGCGGCTGCTGCTCCAGCTCCTGCAACTTGACCGTATCCTTGTTGGTCTCTTCCGCCAAGACTTGCAGCACTAGCTGCTGCGGCTGCTCCAGCACCTGCACCTTGATCGTAGCCTCGACCTCTTCCAGCACCAGCAGCTGCAGCTGCCCCAGCACCGGCTCCTTGACCATATCCTTGTTGGCCTTGTCCAAAACCTCCACGTCCTCCAGATCCAGCTGCAGCAGCTGCTCCAGCACCAGCTCCGGCACCTTGACCGTATCCTCTCATGCCTTGATCATAGCCTCCAGCTCCTGCAGCACCGGCTGCTGCGGCTGCTCCTGCGCCTTGTCCGGCTCCGTAACCTGGTCCCCTAGCATCACCAGCTCCTGCTGCTGCAGCGGCTGCTGCTCCAGCTCCTGCACCTTGACCGTATCCTTGTTGGTCTCTTCCGCCAAGACCTGCAGCACTAGCTGCTGCGGCTGCTCCAGCACCTGCACCTTGATCGTAGCCTCGACCTCTTCCAGCACCAGCTGCAGCAGCTGCCCCAGCACCGGCTCCTTGACCATATCCTTGTTGGCCTTCTCCAAAACCTCCACGTCCTCCAGCACCAGCTGCAGCAGCTGCTCCAGCACCAGCTCCGGCACCTTGACCGTATCCTCTCATGCCTTGATCATAGCCTCCAGCTCCTGCAGCACTGGCTGCTGCGGCTGCTCCTGCGCCTTGTCCGGCTCCGTAACCTGGTCCCCTAGCACCACCAGCTCCTGCTGCTGCAGCGGCTGTTGCTCCAGCTCCTGCACCTTGACCGTATCCTTGTTGGTCTCTTCCGCCAAGACCTGCAGCACTAGCTGCTGCGGCTGCTCCAGCACCTGCACCTTGATCGTAGCCTCGACCTCTTCCAGCACCAGCTGCAGCAGCTGCCCCAGCACCGGCTCCTTGACCATATGCTTGTTCGCCTTGTCCAAATCCTCCACGTCCTCCAGCTCCAGCTGCAGCAGCTGCTCCAGCACCAGCTCCGGCACCTTGACCGTATCCTATCATGCCTTGATCATAGCCTCCAGCTCCTGCAGCACTGGCTGCTGCGGCTGCTCCTGCACCTGCACCTTGATTGTAGCCTCGACCTCTTCCAGCACCAGCAGCAGCAGCTGCCCCAGCACCGGCTCCTTGACCATATCCTTGTTGGCCTTCTCCAAAACCTCCACGTCCTCCAGCACCAGCTGCAGCAGCTGCTCCAGCACCAGCTGCGGCACCTTGACCGTATCCTCTCATGCCTTGATCATAGCCTCCAGCTCCTGCAGCACTGGCTGCTGCGGCTGCTCCTGCGCCTTGTCCGGCTCCGTAACCTGGTCCCCTAGCACCACCAGCTCCTGCTGCTGCAGCTCCTGCACCTTGACCGTATCCTTGTTGGTCTCTTCCGCCAAGACCTGCAGCACTAGCTGCTGCGGCTGCTCCAGCACCTGCACCTTGATCGTAGCCTCGACCTCTTCCAGCACCAGCTGCAGCAGCTGCCCCAGCACCGGCTCCTTGACCATATCCTTGTTCGCCTTGTCCAAAACCTCCACGTCCTCCAGCTCCAGCTGCAGCAGCTGCTCCAGCACCAGCTCCGGCACCTTGACCGTATCCTCTCATGCCTTGATCATAGCCACCAACTCCTGCAGCACTGGCTGCTGCGTCTGCTCCTGCGCCTTGTCCGGCTCCGTAACCTTGTCCCCGAGCACCACCAGCTCCTGCTGCTGTAGCGGCTGCTGCTCCAGCTCCTGTACCTTGACCGTATCCTTGTTGGTCTCTTCCGCCAAGACCTGCAGCACTAGCTGCTGCGGCTGCTCCAGCACCTGCATCTTGATCGTAGCCTCGACCTCTTTCAGCACCAGCAGCAGCCGCTGCCCCAGCACCGACTCCTTGACCATATCCTTGTTGGCCTTGTCCAAAACCTCCACGTCCTCCAGCGCCAGCTGCAGCAGAGGCTCCAGCACCAGCTCCGGCACCTAGACCGGATCCTCTCAGGCCTTGATCATAGCCTCCAGCTCCTGCAGCACTGGCTGCTGAGGCTGCTCCTGCACCTTGTCGGACTCCGTAACCTTGTCCCCTAGCACCACCAGCTCCTGTTGCTGCCCCAGCAGCGGCGCCTTTATCATATCCTTGCTGGTCTTGACCATAGCCTCCTGCTCCTGCAGCAGCTGCTGAAGCTTGAGCTGCACTTGATCTCGTGATGTATTCTTCGGTTGTGTAGTATGTAGTTTGGGTTGATATGTCTCCTGTTTCTGTTGCAGTTGTACTTGCTGCAGATGCTCCAGTAAATGGACCTTGACCGTAGCCTTGACTGGACAAACCTGCGGCTGTAGCTGTTACGGATACTGCGCTGGGACCGTAACCTTGTCCTGTACCTATTCCTCCTCCTGACGAGGCTGCTGCTCCTGCGGATGATCCGGCTATTTCATTTATGCTGGCTTGAGCAAACATAGTTATTAACTCACCCATCTCTCTCAGGAATACCTGATCTACTGTTCCTGTTGTTTGCATGAAAGCATCAGCTAATGCATCCATTATTGCATTGGTTTTAACACCCAGTGGTTGGCCTCCATCTGATGAGACGGCTATTTCAGCAACGGACGATGCGAAAGCCATATTTAGAGCTTGGAGTTTCGATTTGGAACTTTTTTTGGATCGAGCCATTCTGTCCATTGCGTCCATAATTGTGTCACTTATGGACGATATGTCATCCATTTGGTCATATGTAAAAGCTCCAGAACGAGCTATGGACAGAGTAAATGATTGCAGAAGGCTTTCAGCAATTGCAGGATTTCCCCATATTGCTTCACCAGCTCCGAAAACCGTAAGAAAATGAGCGCAGGAAACTGCGACAAAAAACGCTATTCGAGTTGACCACTGCATGATTGAATATCGCTTGCAGCTCTTCGAATGTGTGCTGTGAGGAGCAAAAGAATGTCCTTTTATACTCTAAAAAATCGGGATGGTCGTGAAAATTCGTGACCCAGCGCAGCTAATTCAACAATTTCATCACGCATTTTTTTGCGACTTGTTTGCGTCAGATGCGACGAAACATAGGTATGATTCATGATCACCTGCTTACCGTGCTTACCGTGCGTAAGGAAGATCACGTTTCTCTGAGATAAGAAAAATAGTTGAGGTCCCAGTTTTCAAGTATCTATCGCTTAATTTCGAATTTTACTCAAACTCGGAAGATTCAAAAAGTTCTTACGTATATATATACAAAGAAGCAGGCAGAAAGTAAAAAAAAAAAATGAACCTATTTTTTGAACAAAGAGCCAAGAAAAGGGAAATTCAATGTCAATAAATTTCAAATTATCCCATAAATATACAAAAAATAAGAATTAAGAAGCCAAAAATCTTCAAAAAATTGTGATTTGGGATTTTTGCAGTTTCAAATTCTCTATACTTTTAGCTTTTTAAAAATAACATACTTTAATCTCTATGATAATTAGAACTGTAAAAACTCTAGTTTTAATCGAATGCCTTGATAAATGAGGATTTTTACATAAATATGCGTTTCAACCCCAAATATATTTTTTTATACTTATTGCACCTTTTCTCAGGAACTACTATTCACAGGTATGTAATTTTTTTAAGTATGTAAATTTTTATGGTTTAATTATGTTTTCTAATATTTACTGGAATGAGCTTTTTGTGGTAAACTAAGGAAAAAAAATTTCCAAATTTTTTGGGGGGAGAAAATAGCTGAACTTTACTATGCCTAATGCTATATTCTATAAATTATTCTAAAACTCAAAATGTTTCGAATACTCATTTCAGTATGATCAGATAGGTGTAGTTTAATTACACAAATAAATTTCAAATGTGTAACTGCATCAGATTTTGAGAAAAAATACATCGAGAATGGGCAATTTAACATTGTCGGTTTAGAAGATTCAAACTCCTTATAGAAATATGAAGATAAAAATCTTTTACTCTTTTTTAATATTTAGGTCTTAGTTTCACATTTCGCTATTCTTATTTTGTATATTTATAGGATATTTTGAAAATTATTGGTATCGAATTTCACTTTTTTTGGTGTCTTTGTGTAAAGTGGGTTCTAAATTTCTTACCTTTTGTCTATACTGATCAATTTTCAGTAGCATACTGCTCGAAAATACCTTAAATAGTTATATTTTTAATAACAAAATTGTGGTACTATATATTCAGCTGAATTGAGCCACAATTTAAAAGTGTATTCAACACATATATTTGAAACACTAAAAATTACGCACTATCGCTTTGGATCAAATAATAGTTTTCTGAACATTATGTTACATATTAATATATAAAAATTTTCCTCTAAATGAAAGTAGAAACTATGACTTACCCGTCTCACCAACTATTTATGTTTAATTTATTTTATTTATATGTATTTATCTATTTTATGTACCTAACTATCTCTAAGCCTTTCTCTCTCTTTTACGTATCATACATTTTTTCATTTTTTATTCTAAAAATCGGAAAGGACAAGAAAGAAAAGTGTAACTAAACAATAAGTTAGAAACGTTTTTACTATCTACAATTTTTTTCTTTATATTTTTTGAATGCAATGTACGTTTCTTTTCCACCTATAATATAAGATGATTTCTTGACTTAATTTTATAAATATGTTAGGTATGGAAGGCTTCTTATTATGAAAAATTTAATAATGCTAGGTAATGACCATATACATGGATAATTTCGTAATACCATGGATACATTTTGATGTATGGCTAAATAACTGAATTGTTTTTTTAATTAAAAAAAAAAAGGTGAAAATAAATTTTCTAGTAATACTAGCTAGGGTATCTAATCAGAAATATATTTTTATTTAATATTTCTAATTAGATATCTCGCGATTTAAATGCATTGTTAATTAAATCAAACAGGTTGAAAACTGAAAAATAAAATTAGGAACTGCGTTTTATTGCTTTTAAATCGCTTGAATCGATAATCAGTAACAATTAAGATTAAATTCGAAAGTTAAGGATATTACGTTCTGTGGAATAACAACACGTTGGTGAGGCGAAGATAAACGTATTTTATTTAAGACAGTAGAAACACATAGCATTAAAATCGTCGAATTTGTGGCTTAAAAGCAAAAGATAAATATCTTTCCCTTTTTCTAACGGCAACAGTCTGTCACATAGGAGATGAAAACGTTACATTTCGAATAGCGAGCTTCAAATTTCGGCCTTCCAGACACACATGTACGGGTTGAGGACCATGCCTAATTAAAATTGGATGACTCTAGGCACCCCCAATTGTCCACAGTGCGGGAACTACTAGGAAACATACAGATTCCTACATACAGACTCTACATTATTTAATAACAGAAATGTAAGTTTGTGTTTGATATGAAATTACTTTTGTATTTTACGTAGAATTGCTGATAAGCTATTCAGAGTCGAATCATAATCTGACGAAATTTATTAACTTGGAAAACCAGATATGCAAGTACTTAGCTCTCTGTTATTAGATAAGGCTGTTTTACAGTGCCTAACTTTCTTCACTTGTGCTCTTCAGTTTTATTTGTAAATATCAGTTACTACATACTAGCAAAATGACTTTTTCTTTCACATATACTATTAGTCACATTTTTAAAATGTTATTCGAAGCTTTTTTTTGTTTTTAAAAAAAAGGTTTATTCGAAAAGATCTGAAAATTAACCCACGTCAATATTCCCACATTTTAAAAACAGTTTGCATTTAATAAAAATGTGAAACTTCATCAGATACCTTTAGCTGAACTTACACTTTTCATGCACTTTGGCATGAATTTAGCTAATTATTTCGAGTAAGAATATTGCATTCCTCCATAAGAATTTTTCTTGAATAGAAGTTTCGAAGAATATCATGTTTACTTGATTTTTTTTCAACTCAGTATATACATATGGTAAGAATATGGAAGGTTATGAGAACTTCCGGACAGCTGTATTGTTACGGTTTTTGTATTCATTTATTTTAGTTTGCTATTTTTAATAGATTGTTATTAAATTGTTTCATTTCCCCGTGCAATGCTGCACGCGACTTATTTGAAGAGAAAGCTAAACCAGAAAAATTAAAAATACAGGAGCACGCGCTTTTAATAAATAGAAATCTCGTAATTGCACGCTTTTGCTTTTCGAGAAAATGTCAGAACATGCTCGTGCTTGATTTAAAAAGCTTATAAAAAGGAAGAAAAACCTCTCAATTCAGTGGTTGCTGTTTACTCTAGCGAATTCGCGTATGTGGGGAAACAGGCGACCCTTACCATTATATCTTTCATGCCCACTTGCTGCCAACCTACAAGTCAAACACCCTACTCAAGTGGGAACAGAATTCAAAAGATTCCTAATTAACCATCAACACACCTACAAAAGCAAACTATTCATAGGCAAACTACAGCAACAAGGTAGAGAACTATGCCACTCATAAATAATAAAACTGAAACAACACCTTGTAGAGACCTTAGGTATTTTTTGGAGGCCGGAGAGATGAAAAATTAGCAACGCCTTCGCCGGAATCGAACCGCCGACCTCTGGAATATCGGCCCAGTGTGCAGACCACCACACCACGAAGGCACGCCAAAAAGGTGGGAGAAATACCTTATAACCTAATTAATTGTTATCTTCACCTTGAACCCTGTATACCGTTATATCTATACCTCAAGTATCTGCACCCCAATTTATCTGTATGTGTGCTCTTATCTAAATTACTTGTTACTTTAACGTAATTTATTATGTCAACAGAGTAATGTAATGACCTGATATGTAACAGTGTAATGTAAGTAAGTGTAATGTAATGACCCGATAATGTAATGATCTGATATGTAATCCTTTGTCTTTATAATAAATACCAGAAAAGGTTAGTGCAGGGGCGCAATACCATTTTTGTTTGACGATGTTGTGGTGCCCCCTGCACTTTTTCCTGTCTTGTCCTGTACCGAATTCGCGGTGAAATCGGATTATTTTTCCTTGTTTTGAATTAAGTTCTGTTGAATGTTTGAGTAGTTTAAAAGATAACTGCTGTGAGATATTGCAACACTGTACGAATATCTGAGGAAATTTAAGAATTGTGTTTTATTTGCTGTGATAATAATAAATCTTATTCACTTTTCATCGGACTTATGCAGTTTACTACAAACCCGTACACACGCAACAATTTTTGGTGTCAGAAGTGGGATTTTGAATGCCAATTACAAGAGCGATGAAAGAACAGATCAGGCAGTTGATGACTGCTTTGCTGCATTTCAAGCATAGATGTAAGCTAGTCAAGAATCCATTAAAAAGTGATGAAAGCCGTTCAAGCTGGTCAAGGAAATAGGGAAGCCGATCAAGAATCAGTTAAAGAGCAGATGAAAACCGTTAAAAAAAATAGATTACCTGCACAATAGAAAACAAATTTGATTCTATGGAAGGCAGAATAGACGCTGTTGAAAATAAAGTTGGAGAAATTCAAGAAAGAGTTTCTTCTGTGAAAGAAGAAGAGTAGAAGCTCCACAGTAGAAGAGAGAGTTTCTACTGTGGAGCAACGATTCGAAGGAAGAGTTTCGGCCGTCCAACAGCGAATCGAACAACAAATTGAAGAGTATCTGTCATCCAAGAACATATCGAACAACAGATTGATGACAGTGTTTCTGCAGATGCCAAAGAAGTTATAATTTAAAGAAATTCGTAGCGACAGCAGGGAGCAATTCGAAGGCTTTAAATTTCTACCCATGCCTACTCGTACCTTTCTGAAGCTGTCCACATACGATGGTAAGACCTCCTGGCAAGTATATAAAACATAGTTTTCTATAGTCGCGGATGCGAATGGATAGGATTCCCAAACTATGGCCTGTCATCTCGCCGCTTCTTCAGACTCTTCCCGAAAACCAAAGACTAGATTTCTAAGCTCTGCCCGGCGAATTGGTGCTGCGCTTTGGGGAAAAACTGTTAAAAAAACTACAGCATGTTTCAATTAAAATCCTGTCAACAAAAGTCAACCGAAACACTCCAGGAACTCGCCACGGATGTTGAAAGGCTGTCCCATCTCGCCTTCTCGGAGTGCCCGACAGGAACAAGAAAACTTCTGTCCCTACAATACTTTATCAACGCCATCCGGGATTCTGAAATACAGAAAGTTCTACGAATGGGGATGTTAACTATTTGAAAAGCGCTTTACTGTACGCCATGAAATTCGAGGCAGCCCAGCAAGCAACTCTGCAACTCGTAGAGATCACTACCCAATCAGAGCTGTGCGAGTCCACGACCCAGTGGATCAATTCATGGCTCGTTTAGATGATTTGACAAGACAAGTCGATGCATTGATACGGGAAAGTAATGGGAAGAAACTGGCTCTTAAGTGTTGCAAATGTGGTACTGAAGACCACATACGACGGCATTGCCGAACGCTCCAGGGTATGGAAAATAAAACAGATGATTTTACAAGACCAGTCAGTGCCTTGAGATGGAATAAGAGTGAAAAGATACCAGTCCTAAAGTGCTGGAACTGCGGTGTTGAAGGCCACATACGAAGGAACTGCAGAACACCCCAGAGCATCCAGAATAAGATAGACGAATTGCACAGAGAATTAAATGGCTTGAGACGACAGAAGAGTGACCGGAAACAAAAGTGCTGGAACTTAGGAGCTGCAGACCGCGTACGAAAAAACTGCAGAACACATCAGAGCAGAGAAATTAAAACCATTTCTCAGCAACGAGGCAAGAAACAAATTAATGATTATATCGTAGAGCGGGGTTTGAATGAATACAAAATACCCTGTTTTAAAGCGCTCAAGATTTCTGCGGTGAGTGGCAACAGTAACGGACTGTCCATCAATGGATATATATGGGTATATCGGTGGGGTTGCTTGCAATATGATCATTGACACAGGAGCTAATGTTACCATCATTCGGAGAGATTTAGCTAAACAATTTAAAGATGAACTCATTTGGAAGGCATCCTGTGTTATCCTCCAGAATGCGTCTGGTGATAAAATCGCCACAGATGGGACGTTAAACGTTAACATCACGTTTGGAAGTGCCGCCCACTGTCACACGGATATTACAGATGAGAAAAACCAGACTACTGGCTATTCTCCAAGCCAGAAGCTCATCGGTCGTGACCCTCGTCTTCCATGTGATGTCTTGTTTGATCACCCTCCGGATGCACCTTTTTCGCCTGAAGAATACCTCCAAGATCTCCAGGCAATGTTTGAAGTGATGCAAGAGCGAATCAACTTGTCGACGGAAAAGGTGAAGACCCAATACGACACAAGGATACAGGAGACACACAAGGACTTCGGGGACAACAGTTTCACGAAGGAGACAAGGTGTGGTTGTGGAACTCGATTCGACGAAAAGGACTTTGCCCGAAACTACAGTCACCTTGGGATGGTCCTTATACAGTTCTAAACAGACTGAACGGCGTCGTGGTTCGGATCTGTAAGTCATCGAACTCTAAATCTAAAGTCGTTCATTACAACAGGTTAGCTCATTACTATGGTCATATTACGTAGTGTATATAATTGTAAATAGTGTAAGACCATGGTCCTTTTTGTTTCTAAATGCGTATTTGATAGTATTTGAATTGTTTTAAGTTACTATTGGAATTATTGTTTATGCTAATTCAGAAGTCAAACAACAAAAATCAGCGTTATATTTTCACAGGACTAGTTTCGATGGTTTTACCGAACCACCATCGTCAGCTGCAAAAGCGCAAATGAACGATAGGATATAATGATCAGATAAGATAAGAAAGCCTGGACAGAAAATAAGCTAGTGGCGCCATCTGTTGATGAAACCAGAACTAAAACATAATTTCTTTAAAGGCCGAAAGCAAAGATGGATTGGAATTAGGATCGTTAACTAGAACAGAAAGATTTTTTTGAATGTGAAATGGATCTAGAAAATAGATTCTCAATAGGATTCTCAATGTTAAATGCTTTGTAAGCTCAAGGGAGGGAACGAGTTTTTTTATTTAAAAAAGAAAAAGATGTATTTTTGAAATGGTTTCCATAACATAAATTCCTAGAAATGCGAAATTTTCTTTTGTTCTGAATACCATTATATGCAAAATTTTCGTTTTTATTTAATATATACTTAATTTTTTTCTAGTATATTTTTATATCAATGAATTAAGCAAGCAGAAAAACTGAAATAAATATGACAGTATTACAATTCCCCTTTTTTTCCGAAAACAGAAGACACGGAAAATATAATAATTTCTTCTAACGTTTATGTATTCTTATAAATTTTAAATCAATTTAATATAACACTTTTCAGCAATACATGATCATGAGCGCCCCATTATAATAATAAATATACAAAAGCCTTTCTAACCACAAACTTTGAATATATTGAAAATGATTGAAAGCTTCTTCTTTTAATCTGTCTTTATCTGTCAACTATTTATTCCTAAATTTTGCGTTGAAAGAGAGTTTGTATTTATTTATGCAACAATGCTGTACTAAATTTAGGATACTTTTTGTGAATTATACATTATCATCTTCACTCTCAATAACTGGTACTGCAAATTTTGGGGGAAATTCTGTCCAGATTCATGTATTTTATTATTCATAGATTCCAGAATGATCGATTTTGTATTTCACGAATTCCATGATAAAATATGGTAATATGGATGGATGGTTTTTCCTTCTAGAAGTCATAAAACTTGTTTTTGAGACATAAATGCAAATGATTTATGAAACACGGAGTATTCACCTGCTTTGATCAACACCAGAATGCAGTTTCTTTATGAATATTAATAAGATCCTGCAAACGAACTTTTGCTGGTGAATCATCAACCTAATGCTTGAACATATCCAGGTGTTAAGGCGCCACGTTCCCATCTTTTCAGATTCTTCAGAAGTACGGATTCCTGAACTTTTCTAGACGTTTCTCTGACTTGGTAATGTATTTCCTTTTCTAATCTTTAATTCTTTTCGCTTTTGTTTCCAACAAGAAGATGAGTTAGAAATGTCCTCTGGAAGTAAAGCCTTCCCGAGGAACTTGTTACTTGTACGCTTTGTATTAGCGTATAGTCTATCTAGATGACTAGTCCACTAATTTCTTTAACAGACAAGAGCAGCAGATAGACAGTTGTGAGGGTTTCGAAATTAGAAACGACTGTACTTAAGTACCTCTACTTTCCGCTTCACATTAAATTATGTTATGTTAACATGTCATTAATCAGTTACGCGGTCTTGTATATGTCCAGTTGCAAGACATGTTGCCAATCTTGACACAGAAGATTTTTTTAATTTATTTTTCAAATTATAGTGGGTAATAATTAAAATTAGTTTCAAATTAGAAGTAGATAAAGCTTATTAGAAAAACAAATATAAAAATTTAGATTAGTTTCAAATTAGAAGTAGATAAAGCTCAGTAGATAAAGCTTATCAGCTTTATCTACTGAGCGATTTAAAAGCAATGTATATGTACTTACTATTAATATCTTTTAATAAGTTAATTTTTAAATTTTTATTTTAATAACTTTTATATTTGATATAACACTGGTCTTCATTTCAAAAACAAAATTTGATGTTTTAAATCTAATAGGTAATTTCATATATTTTCTTAGTGTTGATTTCAAAAATGGAATAAGAATTTCTGTATCAAGTCAGGAATTTTTTAAAACTGAGAGCTTTTATATTTTCACAAATACTTCTATTTTACCTTATATTAATACATTTATTTTAGTGATACAAGTTATAAATAAATTGCGTAATAACAAAAATATATTTAATATCCTTTATAAAGTATATAAATAGATTTATAAATATATTAGTAGATTTAGTACATTATATAAAGCATATAATTGAATGGAAAGAACATAAAATTATGCTTCCATATATTGCTCTTATACAATGCATGTTATAAAATTAGCTGAATGTGTTTAATGCTTAATCAAAGCTAAGCAATAGCTTCAAGGCAAGAATTTTCCCTTTTGATTGATTTTCGCCTGCTTGTACTTTCTTCCCTAGGTATACATCTCTTTTCAACATCCAGCAATAGTCTGCCGTCATGTTTTTATTCCACTTCCCTTGGTGTATTTCCTTGTCTTTATAAATATAAGCTATTAAAATAAAATATAAAAAATTAATTATTACTGTATTTCCTTGTCTTTTCTGATGAAATCGTTCACCTTGTTCTTCACTGACTTTTCCTAGATTCTCTGGAAAGTAATCTATGTGTGCAGGTAAAAAATGTAATTTAATACTCATGTTGTATCCGCGTAATCTTAAATTTGGTAGCATGTCTTTTATAATAATTTTGCAATTTGAATGTTTCCTGTTCCCTAAAAAGTTTTCATTCACCTGTTTAAAACTCAACCTGCTTCTTTTTCACAATTCTTCATCGTTGCTTCAAATTTGGAATTTAAATAAGTTTTTCGAATTTCTGTCCAATAAAAATTCCCTCCGTAAGTTTAGCATCAGTAATAAAAAGAAATTTGTCGCAAATATATTAAAGCTATCATTTTATTTATTTAAAGCTTTCACAAACTGTTTCAAAATACCTAATTTAATATAAAGTGGGGGAAGCAAAATATTTTTGGATTCAACTAGTGGTTTGTGAAAAATATTTTTAAAACCATGTAAATAAACACTCTCGAGAATACCAATCGCTTTTTCCAGTGATTCTTTTCCCGACACTCCCAAGCGCATAGAAAACATGGAAATTAAGTGTAAATAGATTGATGTTCAAGTAACATTCCAATTACCTTCAAGTCAGCACATAAAAGCCATTGATGTTTGTTATAATTCGCCTTGTGTAATAAAAATGCGATATTTATATGTTCCTTTTAAATAAACAGAGTGTGCCACTGGAATTGATGCATATTGATTTCATAATTCAAACTCCTTTTTGTGGAATTTATAAATAGCGTCCAGTCAGAATAATTGTGATTAATACCAAAGAAATTCATTATTGCATTGACATCATTGCAAGAACACAAATAAGCCTTCTCCTTTTTACGGTATCTATACCATGAAAAGTGTATTTGTGGTAGTAGTCAATTTTTACCTTTAAGATGTGAACCAAGAATACTAAATTATTAAGCTCAGTTTGATTAAAGATTATTCATATAGTTTCATTTGTTTCATATATATATAATATATATAGTCCTCCTCTTCTTCAACTACTCGCAAATCTGAATAAATTTCTATCATTTATATTTTCTATATTAGCTTATATATTAGGAACAAGAAGCTTTGCATTATACCAGTAGGTAAATTAGGATAGGATAGGTAAGTTTGGATATACAGTACCTCCTTTACTTTTTGCATTATCACCAGTAACATTTGTTACACAAAATAACAATCATCATAATGATTCTTTTGTTCTCTTTATAGCATTGGAATCGCAAAAGGCATTGAAATTTTCTTACTTTTACTCCAAAGGCTCAAAGCTTCAACACAAGTTCGACACACTTTATGTGGATCCCTGGCTTGTCTTGATCGCCTAATTTAATTCCAAAATACGCAAAGTATGCATTTTTAACAAAGTGTGTGATATTTTGCCTTTGTTTTACTGGTGCATAGTTTCCACAGATATAACAGAATATATTGGACACATTCACACATTTACGGGAAGCCATACTTCATAAAATGCTAATTGAAAGCACTGAAAATAACTACTTGAAACTTAGCAAACGATTAATTTAAGGCTACGAAAAAAGTGATGCTTTAAAATAGTTACCTGATTAAACTATTCTAAATAAAGTGCTGCCATATAATGGAAAGAAAATTAACCGCAGACGCATATTTTCCATATAAATCATTCAATAAAAATAAAACCTTATATGATAGGGGGAAATATTTATATTCCTGAAAGCAGCATAAAAATTATTTCTAGAAACAATGTAAAATGTAGAAACATCGAAAACCGTGCTGACCAGTGTAATTTTTAACATAGCTAACTATTATTTTTTATAAATGTTTAAATTACTACTGGTGTAACTAATATAAGATGTCTATAATACCATGCTTTAGGTAGCTCAATTATAGAACTTGCTATTTGCCTTTAGTAACTAGTATGCTTCATTTTATTTTCAAAGTAATTTCGATTAAATGAAAGTAAAATTTCTTTGAAAATTCTCGTATTAACTGAAGCAAATTTGTTGAATTAAATTTTTCGGGCCGTCTAAAATTTCTTTTGGTAAATATATGGGAAATAACGCAATAGATAAATTAAAATGACTATAATTATGTAATTAATCCATCAGAATTATACAGAGGTAGCAAACGTCATCACCACGACTTTTTTCCATAAAGTACTTTTTACTATTACTTTTACATAATTGTACATTATCAGTTTTTGCTTGCTTTTCTGTATGTTTAAGGCTTTGCTATTTCTGTTGACTTTCATCTATTCGACATTTTGTTTGCAATAATTTTTAATGCGTCTGAGAAAGTTTTATATAACAGATAATTATTTTATGCCCCAAGAAATACACTAATGAATATTATCAAAGAAATTAGATGATATTTTTCCTTTTAGTTCACAAATAACCTTAACCAAACTTGCAATTTATAAGGCGTTAATTTTTAATAAATATTTCTTTTTATTTTTGCGCTTTATTCCCAATTTAGTTTTCTAGAGATAGTATTTTTTTAATTCCGATTAACTTTCTCGTTATGATTAGCTTATACAGCTGCGCTACATTTAAACCTTTTCTTATGAAAATTAATTCTTAGAACTCACCTGAATAGAAAATAAATTTAAATAATAGTTCTCTTATGCCAAATAAATACTAATTTGACTAATGAAAGAAATAAAGTTTTCAACATTAAAAACCTGTCTCGGAATTCATGAATTTAAGAATTTTTACAGGAAATTACACATTTCTTTTTCATTCTTCGTATTATTCTATTTTTCAATTTCATTTTTTAAATTTGGATTTAAGTTCAGTGATTTTACTCTGATACGATATTTTTCTAAGATTTAAATTATATGTCTCACTATAACACCATGCGTCAAAACTATCATTATAGAATACATTCTAATAAATTTTTATTACAAACTTCTTATTGAATATTAAATTGCTCTTTAGAAATTCTTTTCTTAATTGCATGCAGAAATTTTTTTAAAATCTTTCCTAATTTAGATAAAACTTTCCTAACAACAAATTATTTCCATTCTTTCCCCTTGCAATTGATGAAACTCGATGCGCATATTTGTAATTAAATTTTTATGGTGGTTAATCTAATCTGCAAATAAACCCATTAGTACAATGCACACTAACAAGCACTGTCGTATGTACATAAAAGAACAACTTTTGAGCTATTTTAGACTTTGAGGACCAGACATGCATCTAGAAAATTTTAGTTAATTTTACAGTAGTTTCGCTGTTTAAGGCTAAAACGAGGGTTCCCAACAGCTCGGCATTGATCATCTGGAGAAAGAAGAAATTTTAAAGGGGGTCAGTGATAATCAACGGCTCGATAGCCGAATAGACACTAGTAATTGATCAGCATATACAAGATCCCTCTTCGCAGCATTTTATAGACGCTTTTAATACCATGATGGAAATTTTTTCTTGAAGTTGACAAGCTTATGACGACACAATTAATAAAATTCAGAAAGAATACATTCTACTTGGCTAATAAATATTCATTGTTCAACGCCACACGAAACAAACCGCAAAGAAGTGGTTTGAATCTTATTAACGGTAGAATGCTTATTTTCGGTTTTCGTTCTAAAACTGACTTGCTTATATCGAAACAGAATCAAAATGAATTCCATATTACTTTGATAACTTGAAACTAGTGTCCGATGCTGAAAAGGATTAAGTATCTTCCGAAAATATATTGTTACATATAGAAGCTACTTGTTAAATTTAAAGACTTTAATATTCTATTCCGAGACACTGAAATTTTTAATTTATCCACTCAACTTATCTATAAAACCACTCAATTGCGATTTAATGTCTTTTTGACATCATGAGACAAGAATATTTCATTGTATTGAAGGAGGATGTTCCAGCGCAAGGTTCTATTCAAAACACATGGTTCAGTTGCGTTTGGGAATTTAAAAGTCATTCAAGTCAAATAGCCCAGTAAAAGTTGTTATAAAGTAAAAGTTGTTATAAACCGATTTAACTTTATTAACTTTTTCTTAACATTATTAACTTTTTCCTCTTCTTACCAATACAAGCAGGCAATTTATATCAAATGTTGAAAAAAAATTCCATCAGGCTATCTAGCGTAACCATCGCAGTAATTAAAACCGAACTTTTAATTTTGTGCAATTAAAAATCTATGTTTCTGAAATTTTGAAAAATGAAAAATAATAACAATAACACAAAAAGTAATAAAATGTAAATCTAATAAACCATTTTTTAACTGGTTGATAAGTTTTATATATATATAATTATTTGTATTATGATTACGTGTATGCTATATATTTTAGAAAAAATAAAGGGGGGTGACAAAGAAAACCATTCTTTTGAAAAAGATTGATGCAAGAAAAAAATCGGTAATCTAATGCCATGAAGCCACAAGTAGTAATGTAGCCACTCTAATGACACAGACATGCAGGTACTATTCCATTAGTAACATATTACGATTTCATTTGTACAAAAACATCGTTATTTGTCTTATTTGGGGCTTCGGTGTGCTCTGAATAGAAATACGATTTTATTCATATGTTGAGAAATACTGGTACAGGTTTCGGTAAGCTCAATTTAAGCTCTGGTCTCTCTAGATATTTTCATGGAAACAGAACAATTGCATCAACTTTTGGCTCTCGTAATTTTTTTTTTTTTTTTTAAATAGATGTTAAGATAAAAAAAATGTAGTTGTACGATGTAGTTTGATATATGCAAAGAATGAATGCAAATATAAATTTTAAAATTATAAAGTTCAAATTTGATTTAATTTTAAAGAAATTATCTGCGCATTTCTCTAAAATTAAAGCTATATAAGATAAACAAAAGAACATGCAAATAAACGATTAATTCTAGCTTGAGAAAAATAATTTAAGATTCAATTTTAACAAATATACATGATATATTAAAGTATGAAAATTAAAACATAAAACTCATAAAGTTTCAAGCATATGAAATGCAATGAATAAGCGAAATTATCCATTATAAAACATCACTGAAAGATGAGGCATACTCATATATCTTTCTTGAAATCCAAATGAGATACTGCTGTAATATAAGATCATAATCCTTATTTAATCTTATTCAAAACACGAATTTTCCGAATGAATATAACTCAATGTTAAACGGAAAGAAGGAAGAAAAGAAATCGAAGACCAAACATTTGAAATCCTCTATTCTTCAGGGAATTGCTATGAAAAAGCTTTAATTGCAACTGCAGTCCATACTTCTTATGAAAAATATATCTTTTCACTGCAATATTTACAGATTGATTAGCATTTAATGGATGATTAAATTAGTGAGGTAAAATTTAATTTTTTAATAATTCAACAAATTTAATGTATTATTAAAAATAAATCAGTTATATTCTGTAAACAGCAGAAATAGGCAATATATGCCTGTCATACTTGTTTTGACCGAAGCAAACACGGGCGCTACTTCTTTTAAGGAAGAATTCCTCTCCAGGGAGTCTGCTAAGGTAATTGGTTCGTATTAACGTTGTCCAGATATAAAATGTCAAAAAAAATGGCTTTATAGTTAGGTCAATCTTCTATGAATAAAGCACGAACAAAATGACTAATATTCGTGAATTTTAAAAAATTCGAGTCCATGAATACTATGAATTAAAAAAACAATTCGATATTTGAAAACTCGAAACCGTGAATTTTCATCATTAGAATCTTTCGAATCCTAACTTAAAAACATATTAAGACATTTCAGCAAAACCTTCGAGAAATGTACTTATTAACGCTCAATAAAAAGCTTTTATGTAAAATTACTTTTGTTACAGTTTTAGTTCAACTAGATCACCAGTTATAAGATATTTTATCTTAATTAACCAATTTTTATTATTTTGATATTTACTCCTTCCGTTAACTCTTATCAGGATGCAAATGAGATTGAAGAATATTTTTATTGCTAAGTTTTTGATTATTTTAGATGTAGACTTTATAGCAGCGACGCTTGCAGCTTTGCTTCCTACCTCCATAGTCTTCGGCTGCAATACTTTTAATTTATAAATTCAACTTTATATTACTTTACTATCCGCATATGACGGAGGTTTGACGGTATGCACAAACGGTGCCTTCTGTTGTTTATCAGTCTAATAGGGTCTGAAGGACTTCAAGTTCATATTATAACTAGAACCCTACTCAATGTCATCTAATTGCAGCCCTGAGTGTCCATTCTTTGTTTCTGGAGAGCTCTAGTATTCCGTGTTCAGTATTTATTTATGTTAATCTTTTAAAATGGTCTTCCTTACCTCTAAACTTGCTAAAAGTTAAGAAAATTCTGAAAAATCAAAATTCTGAAGTGATATTTAAATACATCTTGTCAAATTATACTGAAAAAAAGGAATTTCATCTAATTAAAGAGTTTTA